TTATCTTAATAAAATTAGAGGGGGAAACCAGGGGTGATAGGTGACATGAAGGGGAAAGAATTTCTATAATTTCATGATATTTAGTTCTCGCAACTTTGATCTTCCTTTTGAAAAACAAATAGGTGGAATTGAATAATTGAATAACTTAACTATAAACATGTAAGACTCTCTAGTTGCTGATAAGAAAGAAAAATATCTACTTTTATTTGGTTTTGGCGGAGGTGTTTATGTGTGAGAATAGACTTCCCATAAAATGTACTGTATGCACATTTTGATAAAAATCATAGTCATCTTGGAAGGGTTTCTGGGTTTCTTCAGAAGGGGACTAGCTAATGCCAGCTACTTAATCCTTCCCTATTAGCTAGGGAGATAAAAGGGTGCAGTTGTTAAATGCGTGGACTCTAGAGTTCAGCCAGTCTAAGCTCTGTGATCTTGAACGAGCTACCTCACCATTTGGACTCGTTTTGCTCCTCTGCAAACAGGGGATGATAACAGAGCCTACCCTACAGGCTTGCTAGGGAGATTAAATGAAATGATATATATGATATATGTGAGGGACTTAGCACATGCCTGGCAGGAAGTGAGCACCCTCTGTGGGCTAGCACCGTAAGCACTAATGTTATGTGTAGGTGCCAAGAGCTGCAGGAAGTTCTACTTGAATAGTCAGTCCCACCTGGTCTGTGGTCAGCAGGCATATGCTGGAACTCAACTGTTTCCCTTTGTTCTCAACACAAAACTGGATTGTGTATTCAGGAACATGTATTGGAAGAATTGTAGAGCAACTTGTTTTTTCTCGCTGGATTATGAGCTGAAGTTATAACACCTCCCTTTCTTAAGTAGCTTATATCAGCCCATTGATGCTCAACCTGGCATTCGTGGGTCATTCCATGACCATAACTTCCCCACACAGCCTGATTGCCTCTGCTCCCTTCCACATCACGTGGTTCTAGCTGACCACCATGATGGCCACTACAGCCTTGTATCAGTCACCCTTGGCTGCATCTAGCTCCCTTATGGCTGGAAATAGGAACTATGTTTTGGGTAGCTTTATATCCCCAACAATGTCCAGCAGAGTGCCTGGCAAGTGAAATTTCAAAAATATTTGTTGGATGAAGAATGAGGAAGCTGATTAATGTTTGTGGAAGAACTCATTCAGTGGGTCAAATCATGGGCTGAGTTGTGAGTTCCTCTGTCCTGACCTCACTAGTCATTTTTCCATTCTTCTTCCCTCTTACAGGAAGGAACTCCAAGATGAAAATGAAACAGGCAAGCACATGATGGGGCTTTTTTTCAGTTGGTGGAAACATGCATAAAGATTTGCTTGGTTCCTTTATTTAATGACTCATAAGTTGCATTTGTGAAATGTTTTAAGCCAAGAAGTATCTCATACACTTGTGTTTCTCCACTTGCTAGCACATAGTAGGTACTTAATAAATATTTCAGAATGAACAAATGAACAAATGGCCTTTTTCATATTCTCCTGCTGACTCTGGAACATTCCTTTTCCCACCAAGAGAAGAAAGTCAATAGCACGAGGCTCCTCTCAATTCTTTGTCTGCAAAATGGAGATGAGAATGTTTATGAGGCAGAGTGGTTGTAGGATTTAGACACACAACAGAAGTCACAGTCAGGCATTAGGGGTGGTTGTTTAGCAGGAGCTGTTGTAATTGTGGGTAGAAGTCATTTTGCACAGTTCTAGCAGTTTAAAAATCCTTTGCATGCTTCCTCTCAAGAGCACTTTCTCAGACTATAAGCAGAGAGGAAGGTTGAGAGATTTCTGTCAGATGAGGAATGGGATCAGTGGAGAAGTGTGGGAGTGGAAATTTTAGGACAGCTTCTAGGATACATTAGGATCAGACCTGATGAAGGGCTCTGCAAGCCAAATGGAAAGACCACAGTCAGATCTAATTAGCGCAGGCTCTGACATGAGCTGATTAGAGTCAGGCTGAAGTTTAAAAAAGGAAGCCAGTGGGGCGAAGGGAATGCCCACTCAAGTGGAAAAGTTAATGCTTAGTAGAGTGAGGGTGATGACTCAAGGCTTTGCTATGCTGAGGTCTTGAAAGAATGAGGTGGTTAGTCTCACAGCCAGCCATGTGCTGGGAGCCTCAGCAATGTGACATTCAGTTGAACAAAACCCACCACCTCCCACATTCCACAGCAGCAGAGAGAAAGCGGGGGCCTGGCTTCAAGTATGGTCGCTCTTGTGAGACTACTTTGCTTCAAAATCTGGTCCTGCCACTTCTAACTGGTGACTTCTCTGTTTCCCTAGCTGTGAAAGGGGGATGAAAATAATTACATATGCTCCTAAGGTTAAAGATCAGATGATATAATAGGAGATATATATATATATATGTGTGTGTGTGTTTTGTGTATACATGTATATATACATATATATAGTCTCTGCCCCAGTTCCTGTCATAGAACTCCTAAAACCCTTGTAATTTCTTTTTTTTTTTAAAGATTTATTTATGCAATCAAGAACTGGGGTACAGGCCAGAGGTGTGGGGGGTGAGAGGATTTACCAGAGACAGAGTGGGGAACAGAACAAGCGGATTGACTGAAATTCACTGCTGAGGGGAGCAGTGGGAGAAACAGGAGAGGTCTGCTGCACCATGTGGGTAGCTCCCTGACCGGGGATCGAACTCATGCTGCAGAGGCTGCAGATAACTTCACAGGTTGTGTCTTAACCCCTTGCACCACCAGGGAGACCCAATTTCTTGTAATTTCTTGCATAAGAACTCAGGGTCATCTCTTGCTCTAATATTTGGTCTTTGAGCCCTTCCCTGACGCAGAGCCAGAGTCCTTGCATATCCCCAAGCGATAAGAGCACTAAGAACATCTATTGTTCTAGTGAGGCTACTCTGGGTGACTTCTGCACAGGGCCGGGTCACCAAAAGTCTTAACCATGATTAGACGCTTGAAATTTTCAACCTCTTTCCATTCCTTTGAGAAAGACTGGAAACAATGTTAATCATTGACATCCCTATGTGATGAAGCCGCAGTAAAAATCTGAGTAGTAGGGAATTCAGAGAGCTTCCCAAACAGGGAAGATGGTGCACCCCAACTTTGTAGAAACAGAAGCTCCTGCACTCAGGACTGCCCAAGGCCTCACCCTCTGTATCTCTTCATCTGACTCTTTGTGTCCTTTGCCATAGCCTTTCATAAGCTGATAAGCATAAGTAACTGGTCTACTGCGTTTGGTCAGTTGAAAGCACAGGCAACAAGCTGCACTTGTGATTGGTATCTGAAGTGGGGCGAGGGCAGTCTTGTGGGACTGAGCCCTTAACCTGTGGGATCTACACTATCTCCAGTAGCTGGAGCCAGATTTGAGGTAACTTGTAGAACACCCAGTTGGTGTTGCAGAAAATTGCTTGGTGGGGGACCTCCCCTCCCCGATAAATCTGGTTGCAGAAGTGTTGTGAGCTCTCTGTGTTGTAGGAAAGGGGACACACATGGGAAAGCTATGTGTTTTTCCCTAAAAATAGATGAGCTCATGCATGCAAAGCATTTTGTGTTGAAACATTAACATTTCTTTTGGTAGCTATTTGGGGATTTAGAGGCCCAATAAAAGCCCCTGCTCTTTGGACTTGCTCCAAGGAACTTTTAAGCACTGGCTAGATCGGCACTCACCCAGCTAGTAGGTCTACCTCCTAGTCTCTGACACAGAATGTGAACCTTGTCTCCTCAGAAAAGTTGTGCCAGGAGTAAAAGCAACTCCTCTCTGCTGGCCAGAGAAAATATTCATTTACTCATTGCCTTGTACTGAGGCCTATTGGGGCTCATGTTTAAGCAGTGAAGATGCTCAGGCTTTTGCACCATTGGCCTCTGTGGCTTTCGCCTGCGGCCTTGAATGCAGAAGGAACTTGGCTTTGGGCACTCATGCTTGATGGTGGACACCTGGGGTATGTTGTGGGCATGCGTAAGTGGGGCACACCTGAGCTGAGAGACTGAGGATATAAGTGCAGCAGAGAGCAGTGGAAGTCTGCCAGAGAGACCATGAGAGAACGCCAGAGAGCTCAGGGTAGGTAAAGATTCGCTGGAGGCTGGAAGGCCCACCAGCTTCTGGCTCCCCTGCCTGCCTGCCCCGCGCCTGGTTGCCACACTACAAGCGAAGATCATTAAAAGTCTGAAAAAGCCACTGAGGGCACCAGGACTGTCTTTTGTCCTCTGCCTGGACCCATAGAGAACCTGTCCTGTGCGTTGCTGGCACCACAGGTCTCATCACATGCAGATGCAGCAGGGTCTTCAGATCTAAAATGCCAGGTTTATATCAGGGCGCCAATGCCAGGATGAGCTTAGATGCATCCCTTGTTTTCTTTGAGTCTTAGTATCCTTATTTATAAAATGGTGATGGCTGCATGTCAAAGGTTTGTTTCACTATCTTTGCAACAAGTAGGAGCCACAGAAGCCCATGGGTTACCTTGATCTGCAGGAGTTGGTGAGGGAGAGATAGAGGGTCAGATATTTTCATGAATCTTAGTTCCTCCTTCGCTAACCCCTGTTGAACTTGGGATGGGTAAACAAACTGCCATTCAGTTTGGAACTCTGTGGTGCAGGAGGCTTCAGGTGGGGAAGGTGAATGGGGAAATGGACACTTGTGGTTGGTCCTCAGGAGTAAATAGTCTTTGTTTTTTTTTTTTTAAGATTTATTTATGGATACAAGAGCTGGGGTACAGGCCAGAGGGGTGTGTGTGTGTTGGTGGGAGGGGTATGAGAGGATTCGCCAGAGACAGAGTAGGGAACAGAAGAGGCAGATTCACTGAAGTACACTGCTGAGGGGAGAGCAGGCGAGACAGGATAGGTCTGCTGCACCATGTGGGTTGCTCCTTGGCCCTCGTGCTGCAGAGGCTGCAGATTGCTTCATAGTGTGGTGCTTAACCCCTTGCGCCATCAGGGAGGCCCAGTAAATGGTCTTTGAATGAACAAAAAAATGTTCTTTGAATGGTACCTGTTCTATAGATATTTCTAATTGATCGATAATTCTTATTTTGTATTTACAGATGAGAAAAAGAAAACAAAGAAAGTTGATAATGAACTCAACCCTGTCTGGAATGAGGTGACTTCATTGTTTTTTAACTTTGTTTAAGTGTTTTTTTAAGTAAAACTGTTGTTTCAGTAGATAAACTGCATCTGATGGTCTCAGCTTTGGTCAGAGGTTGGCTCTTCCCTTAGGGGGAGAAGCTGTGCATTTCAGCCCCACCCCATCCCTTTGTGCTCACCCAGAGGAGAGCAGTTCAGGAAGACACAATACCATGACGTGTCCTGTGCAGGGTGGTGTGATTCACAGAGCCTGGACAGAAGTAGGGATCTGTGGGTTCCAGCCCGGAGCTGGCTGTACCACTTGGTTAGGCTATGCTGCATATCTGGGGCACATCTGTAGAGCCAGGGGAGGGACTAGATCCTTTCAGGAGTCCCCCCGGGGGGAAGCTCCACAACTAAAGATATATCTGCAGGCAGCTCCTCAGGAGTGCTTATGTGACACTGTGTGTCTGTCTAAGTAATGACATTTACTGTTTTTTGTGTAAATAAAAATAATATATACTTAACATGGAAATTTTGGAAACCTCAGATTAGTGTAAAAAATTACCTTTGGTTCCACTATCCAGTGGCAACAACTGTTAACACTTGGGATGTATAATAAATGCTTTTTAAGTTAACATATTTAATAAAATGAGCAATTTAGCATCATATGACAAATATGAATTGCAAATAGGAAATTTTCTATTATTTCCATATTAATGTCATATCCTGAGCCTATGTCATATCATTCCATTCAAAAATATTTTTAATGACTATGTCATATTCTATTGAAGAGATATCATTTATTTACTTCCTTCCCCCACTGTTGACTTTATATCTATTTTATAAATGGTTTAGTAGTGTTTAATTCAGATATGTGAAAATTTTAATTATTTCTACCGAGTAGGATTTTCCTATCCTGACTAGTTTTTTTAAAAGTTAGTCATCAGCCTCATTGTTTTTTCCCAAGGTGGGTCCAACCTCCCTGGGTAAACACAGTGATAAAAGTCTTTGTTGTTTTCACTAAGTCTCTAGGCTGTGAAGATGGTCCCCTCTACTGACTGCTGCAAATGTTTTCTCCCCCTCATTAGTTTTACTAGCTTTTCTTAGTGCCCTTCTGAAGACCCTACAGATCTCACGCAGGTTGGAGGGAGTTCTACTTCTCTGCAATTTCACTGCAGTTCATGACATGAGTAGCTGATTACCTGGTCTTTGAGAGCAAGAGGCTCATCTGGTTGGAACCTGTGGAATCCAAGCCCCTCACACAGGCTCCAGGAAAATCAAGCAGATGAAAAACTCATATCTGTGTGCGCTTAGTGCTTCAGGTTTTGAATAGTCTTAACAGGCCTCTTTATACTTTATACTTTTTATACTTAACAGGTGAGCCCAAATGGCCAGTGTTAGAAAGGGGTGTGATCAGGTCAGGGCCTCTCCTCAGGGCATTATCTTATTTTATTTTCCAACATTTATTCCCTCCCCTCCATTGCCAATTTATTTATCAAGTAAACACTCCAGTTGTAGTTTTATAACTGAAACCAAACCTAAATGAAATGATAATGCCCAATCCACTGGTGTCCGTGGGTGTGTTCTGACGTGAGCTGTGAGGTGCCTTCTCAGTCCATCCCCATCCAGTGACAAGGAGAAACATCAATTTCATCAATAGACGCTGCTTTGTTTAATTCATTTATTACAGAACCAATCGGAGGCATCATCACGCCAATTGGTGTCATGCTGATTTTTTAAAAGATTTATTTATTTATTTATACAAGAACCGGGGTACAGGCCAGATGAAGGGAGGGTGCGAGGATTCTCCAGAGACAGAGTAGGGAACAGAACAGGCAGACTGACTGAAGTACACTGCTGAGAGGAGCAGCAGGCACGACAGGTCTGCAGCGCCATGTGGGACCCTTGCCGGCCAGCCAGGATCGAACCGGTGCTGCAGAGGCTGAGGACAGCTTCACAGTGCTGCGCTCAACTGCCTGTGCCACCAGGGGAGGCCCTGATTTTTTTTTTTTACATTTGCCATAAAGCAACAATTTATTTGATTAAGATACAAGTATCATGTGACAATAGCACTGACCACAGTGGGACTTAAAATTGGGGTTGATGTATTTTAGAACTTGTTTCTTAGATGATTCATCTCTTTGTTTGAGAACAATATGATTAGGAAGAACAAGTAATTTTAAAATAACCATTGAAGAAAGCATTTTACACACACATTTCATTTTATTCTTGCAGCAGTTATGGTAGGTGTTAAGTCAGTTCTCTGACTGTGAGACAAGGGTCTGGTGACTGGTCTAAAGCTACAGAGCCTAGAAAATGGGAAACCAGATGTTCCAGCCCCTTTGAGTCTAATCTGGTTTGCTCTTCACCAACCCTCTGATTCAGAATGTAATCATTTCTATCTATAATTCATAAGATAGTCATTGGTACAGATGTTTAGTATCCATTCATCTTAATATCAGCCCTTTAACAGTCTTGTTTTTACATCCTTTTTGTGGACAGATTTTGGAGTTTGATTTGAGGGGTTTTCCACTGGACATTTCATCTTCCCTTGGGATTGTTGTGAAAGATTTTGAGACAATTGGACAAAATAAGTAAGTTGATTTGCTCTTTACCACTTTGCACAGTATCTCATTATTGTTGATTTTGTCAAAGAAACATCTCTAATGACATTTTATAATCCTTTTAATATAATTATGTTTTAACTCCTTGCCTACCCCTCTCCTAACTTATGAGCCTATACTAGACATGGCTAATCAATCAAGATGTTTCCCCCAAACTATACTCCTAGGAGTTTGCAAACATTAAGCCCCCACTAGTCTATTCAATTTGGCACTTAACAGGCAAATCTATTTACTCTCTTGAAATTTCTTTGTTAACTGCATATATTTACTTCCCACCTCTGTTGGCTTATCTGAACTATGGATATATTGGACACAAGCAAAATAATTTCTTCTTTCAATTATGTAGGACCCATACACATCTCATTCAACTTCTGCTTTCTGCCATTTTCATTTTAATGTCTCACTAGCCTTTTAAGTCCATTAGCTATGAACAAGATCCTTTCCTTGTCTTACTATTTCAAATGGGGAAAAATCATGGTGATGCCAAATGTTGTCCCCAGGGTAAAGGTGCAGGACTTCCCAAAACAGGTACCCAGAGGACAGAATGGCCTCAGTAAATTCATCCCAGTCCTTGATCTGGACTTGAGCCTTGTAATCTTACAACCCAATCTTTGGTCACGGATTCAAACTAACCAAGCTCACAAGAATACTCACTTATTATTTTCCAATGGAAATAAATGTCTGATTGGAGGACATTCTCTGATCAATGCATCTTCCTTCATGTTATACTACATGGGAAGCCAAATTACTCTCTGTCCTTGATTGTAAGCTATCATTGGCTGTAAGATGTGCTATTAACTTAAAAAAGGTTTGTGGAGGAGGGAAGGATTCTGTATTTAATGCCCACATCAACTGTAAGAAGCATCCCAGTTTTTAGCTATGTCAATACAAAGGAGGTCCAGTGGATTTAGTGGAGGGTTATTAAGTGCTTTCGTGCTAGGCATGGTATGGTGACATACATTTGAAGATGTGTGAATGTATATTCCTAAAACACATACAGCAAGATAAACCAATGTTACCTTAATAAAAAACAGAAAAGCAATTGAAAACCAAAAATCATCCAATGTGTGTCTTAGCCATAGTCAGAAGGCTGCAATGAGAACAATACCTTTGAATGAATTAGTTGAGGTAGGGTGACCATAGAACCTGATTTGCTTGGGACAGTCTTGGCTTATTGTCCCAGCATGATTAATAATGTCCCTTTTGCTGTCAACAGTGGCTTGGTTTGGACAGTAAACTTAAGGGTCATGCTAGCCGTTGGAGTCTTCTCTTAACACTGTGAGGTAGGAGAGCCTGGACAGACATGTACCCGAGACAATGCTTTGATAGGTATTGCCCGTGTTCACCTGTGACGAGAACCATTTTTCCGTGTTCCATTGCTGACCAATGCCCCTTGTGACTGATGAATTTTCCCCCTTAAACTATATAAATTCATTCTGGCAGCTTCTCCTCCCCTCTTGGACTAGAAAACATTCAAGCTTCTTAAGATGATATTGCCTCTCTTAACTTTGAACCAATTATGTGATTATCTACCTCTCACTCCCGTTCCCATGAACAGTTTGGAAATCTCTGGATTTCCTTCCTTTTACAGCCTAATCTGTTGCCACAACTTACATCGTCTTCCATCCTATTGAGACACAGGGCAAGCTAGAGTTATTAGGCAGTTTTAGGGACAGTGCAGGAGGGGATCTCTGAAGAATTTAGGGAGGCTTCAGAGATAAGGACAACCAAGGGAATGTAACCAATTCCACTGGGAAAAACAAACATCTCAGGACCAAGGACAACACTGTTAACGCTGGTCCTGTTTTCCTTCAGGTGGTAAAGGGAGGCGGAGATTGGAGAAATGGGAGAGTGGTTTAATTTATGGACAACTTAGAAGGGCACCTGTTTAACTTCAATGCAGGGATGTCCATCCAGAGGACTGGGCCATAAAGATAAAGATGCAACAAATGGGGAAAGACAGACCTGTTAGATAAGGAATGTGAAGATCCCCCACTCAGTAGCAAATTAAGTGAGACAGCCGAGAACTAACCAATCACAAAGAGACTGATGGAGCTTTAGAATAATTAGGGAAAGAAGGTATATATTCCCTGAGACACGACCCCACTTTGGCTTCCTTGCCCCTCCTGGGAGTCCCACTTTATTTCTGTTCTTTTTCTCCTCAATAAACTTTTTCTTTCTCTAAACAAACCTGCCTCTTCTCACTTGCTTGCCTGAGCATCTGCGAAGTTCCTGCTGCGGCTTCGTGAGACACCAACCCGTGGGGGTCTAGTGGCTGGGGCTCAGCACTGCCCCTGCAGCCTGGGATCCGTTCCTGGCTGGGAGACTAGGCCTGACAATTCCGGTATCACTATTGTCAGTGCCACATGTTTACTGCCTTTGGCCACAGCCACCAGCCTGGTTCAGGCCTTTAATTTTTGCCTCATCTGTTAACATGCTTATGAGTCTGGTAGCTAGCCTTGGAGCTGCCATCCATTTTCAAAAAAGGCCTCACTTTCCTGAAGGTCCTTTGCTTGTTAACTTTGCAGGGATACTGACATTGAGACCAAGGTTGCTAAGAATGGGGTTGGGCATCTTAGGCCTTGTGGCAGGGTCCTCAGGGAGGTCTGTTAAATTGGGAGATTGGTTCTCTGTGCTGCACATTTGCCTGCATAGTTGTTCACTGTCTTCCAGTGAAAGGCTGACCCTGAGTCTGCTTTGGAATGAATAGTCAAGGTGGCGACACCCCTCTCTGGCCTGAGCTTTCACTGTACTAAGTGGTGTGCTTTTCTGCAGCAGCTGAGAGTCACAATCTTTGGCCTTGATTCCACCAACTGCACAATGCATAGACCTTGTTCAGGGTGCCCAGACCTCACAGGAAAAAGGAATTAAACCCATCTGGGAATAAGCTGTTTGCCCAGAATACTGATGTGTTTTGGCACCAAATTTTTCTGTTGCATTTCTACTGAAGAGTTTGTTTGAGGATCTGCTTGCTGCTCATTGTAGGAATGTTTCCTTTACCTGGAGGTGCAAGATGGGGACAGGATTTTTCTGCCAGCTTAAGGAATGTCCTACCTGTTGACTTCCATGTTGCCATGGAGACTGGTTGTGTAAATAGGGCTCTCACTCTGCATCTGCTGCTCTGGGGCCTGAATGCAAACAGCCCCTGGCTGCCTGGCTTTGAATGTGTACTGTGACCACACCCACAGCAGCTGGATGTTGGGGGGTGGGGTGCTCAGCATGCATAGCATGGGCAAGTCAGCAACCACCCCAACATCCTCAGGGCAGACCCTGTTCTCCCTCACTTTGTAGTCCTCTAACCAGCCTTCCAGACTGAGTGTGAGAGAAAAGCCACAGGAGCCTCTTGGTCACATGATGAACATGAAATGTTATTTTTAGCTACAGTGTCTGAGTGGCAGGGTTTTCCCAGTGACTGAAGAATGAGAGTCCCCTTTGCAGACAAGCAATTTGGTCATCACAGCTAGGACCAGGGAATGCCAAGGGCTATACTCAGGCCTTTTAATGCATTATCCCACTTAATCTAGACCAACATCCTACAAGCTGGTCCTGTTTTCCTCTGAGAGGTTTAGCAATCTGCTCTAGGTCACACAGCAGGTATGTGTCTGAATCAGCTTTTACAAACAAGGCCTGTATTCTTTTTTTTTTTTTTTTTAATATTTATTTATTTATACAAGCACTGGGTACAGTCAGAAGCGCAGGACGGTGAGAGAATTCACCAGAGCCAGAGCAGGGAGCAGAGCAGGCAGAAGGACCGAAGCACACTGCGGAGGGGAGCAGCGGGCGTCAGGAGAGGTCTGCGCGCCATGTGGGACCCTCCTCTGGTGGCTGGGGAGCAGCCAGGGATCGAACCAGTGCTGCAGAGGCTGCAGGCAGCTTCACAACCCAGAGCTCAACCGCTGCGCCACCTGGGAGGCCCAAGGCCTGTATTCTTGACTTTTATGTTATATTGTAAATTTCTGACCTCCTATCAGAACTAAAAGACAGGTGGAATTACTGATCATCTTTTGGCTACAATAGAAAGTATTTTTCTAATTAAAACACACAACAATATGGAAGCCCATTATCAGAATATTAGTAGCCTTTCCTAGGTAACTGTTTTAAGTAGGCATTTTTATACTGTTGAATAGTAAGTCATTTATGCTTATGCTCTACAATGGACAGGATAGGTTAAGAAAGAACACCTCATCTCATTTGATCTTCACAAAGAGAGGTGGAGATGAGACTTGACACTCAAAGGGATTGAAGCTGGGACCCTGGTCCCTTGGTATCCTGGCCCTGCTGTCACTCCACCTAAGGGATCATCTTCAAGGGCCTGGAAATGTAGGAATGGAAGATACTCATGAGTTTCAGATGAGCGTGTGTGGGTATGTGTGTGTGCAAGTGTGTGTGCTGACATGCACACACACAGGTGCCAAGAATGGGTGGAAAAAAGATACTAATCAGGGTTTCCACATTTTGCCGTTCCTTCTGTATGAATGTTCCTTTCCTCAAATTGTTACAGGGCAGGGAGAGGGGCACCCCCAACCCTGCAAACCTGCCTGTTCTAAATAAGTTCTGCCATCCGCCGCATCAATGGCTCTCCATCCTGCGTCCTTCCTTCTTCAGTCCCTTTTGCAGATGCTTCTCCCTGCTCATCTTCGCCTTCCTTTGGGTAGGGCAAGAAACCTGGAACCTCCCCTTTTCCTGGGGACCACCCCATTACAAAACCCCCAGATGTAAAATACTGTTCTTTAGTCTCGGCCTCTCTGGCAACAGAAGCTAGAGCAGCCCTGCCTTCGCTCTGCCTCATTGCCTTGTTTCATGGCCTCAGCCCATCTGGTGAGGGAGTTTTTGGCTGTGGGAATGGGAGAGGGAGCCCATCTGGAGATGTGGGCAATTGGGTTGGGTTTTAGACAAGTACTCAAGGATGTGTATATGTCCATTCATCTGCTTCATCAAGCTCCGCATTCACCATCACCTGAAATATCCTT